GTGTCACCACCTCTCTTTTTACATGAGTGTCGTGGATCAAATGCAAGTCAGGTTGTCATGCTTATAAAGCCAAGCACTTTATCAACTGAGCTATCTCCCAATTCCCTAAGTCTCCTCTTATAAAGATACCAGTCGAACTGCATGTTGGGTACACCTTATTCTTGAATGACCTTGTGGCCTCATTCTAACTAGTGACATCTTCAAAGAAACAAGTTCCAAAGGAGGTTGTTTTCTGAGGTAACAGGGACCTCAATGTGTGGATACGGGGGGGACTAAAACTCAGTCTTTGCATACAGAGAGAGGGATTGCAGGTGGAGGTTCCTTATAGCAACGATAGGCCCTCATGAACTAGGTGGTAGGAAGCTGGGGGTGGATGCTGGATCCTGAAGGCAAGAAGTCTGTCAGTAAAACACAGCACCCCCTCTGTGACAAGGACACAAAGTAAATTATATCACAAGGGTGATTGCAGAATGAGGGACCCTGGAAAATACTCTTTTAATTTCCAGAGCCTGTGAAAATAGCCCCAAATGGGTCTTTGTGAGTGTGGCTGAGGTTCCAGACCCTGGAGGTGGATTCTCTTGGATCATCTAATGTCCCAGTGCAATCAGGAAGCCCTGAAATCAGAAAACTTTCCCTAGTTGGGCCAAAAACATCACATAAGAGAGACTTGACCTTCTCCCCCTTGGTTGCTGACATGGAAGATGATGAAGGGACCTCTGACCCAGGGAAGCTGGAAATGCCCTCAGCTTACAGTCAGCCAGAAAATGGGCCTGTCACCCTAAGGAACCAAACTTTGCCAACAGCCAAAGAAGCAGGAACCAGACTCTCCCCTAGAGCTTCTGACAGAAGGAGTCCTGTTGACATCTTGATTTTAGTCCAGTGACATCGAACTGGATTTCTGACTTCCAGAACCAAGGGATAATAAACTTGTGTTCAGCTGCTGAATTTTGTGTGTGTGTGTGTGTGTGTGTGTGTGTGTGTGTGTGCACACGAGAGCATGTGCATGCAAGTCCACAAGTGTGGGCACACTTGTATAAGGTGCATATGCATGTGGGGGTACGTGCACGGGGAAGCCAGTGCAGGATATCAGTTGTATTTCTTTATCATCCTTTCTTTGTATGGAGTCAGGGTCTCTTACAGAAATCCAGAGCTCACCAATTCGGTTAGCCTAATTAGCTAGCTTGCTCAGAGGATCCTCTGTCTCAATCTCCTTAGTGCTGGATTACAGGGATCCAAACTCTGGTCCTCACTCTTATACAGCACTGAATCATTTCCCCAGACCCTCAGTTACTAAATTTGTGATAGTTTGTTACAACAACAATGAAAAACTGTGATGTTGGGAGAGAGCAGACAAACCCTAATGGAGGGCCACAGGGTTAGCTATCAAGTACATAGAAAGAACACCTCAAAATTCCAAAGAACAAATAGTTAAATAGAAAAAATATTAGGAAGATGCATTTCACCAGAGAACCATAAACAAACAATGAAACCATGAATAGATGATTAACCTCAATCATGATTAGAGAGAAGAAATTAAAGCCACAATAAGATTCCATTTGATTTATCAGATTGGACAAATTGATGACACCAAATGTTGGGGACAGCACGGAGCAGAGGGCCTTAGGTCAAATTGGACTGGCTCCTGTTTTTTTTTTTTTTTGGTCTTTTTGAGACAGGGTCTCCTTGTAGTCCCAGCTGTCCTGGAACTCACTATGTAGACCAGGCTGGCCTTGAACTCACAGAGATCTGCCTGCCTCTGCCTCCCTTAGTGCTGGGATTAAAGGGGTGCACCACCATGCCTGGCTTGGCTCCTGTTTTTATAAATTAAGTTTTGTTGGAACACTAACCCACCACTTGTGTTTTGTTCATGGCTGCTTCTGACCAAGAATGGAAAGAATGGACATGTTCCAAAGACAGTCTATCTCAATATGTAGTTCTAAGATCAAACCTAGGGCTTAGGGCATGCTGGGCCAGTGCTCTGCCCCTGAGCTTCTGAGGAAAGGAAGAAACTCCCATCTGACTCATAACAGAAAACGTTTGACCATTTTGATATCAATCAGATCCCTTCTAGTGATTTTAAAGAGCTGTTTGTCAAGACCTAGTGAGATCACAAGTGTGCATGCATTTGACTTGCAGTTCCACTTCCAGGTGTTTACCCAAGACAAAACTACCATCCAAACATTAAGGGGACAAGTGTAGCCATGTTCATTCCATCATGACCTACCTCCACTTTCTGAATACTGGGACTACAGATGAACACCACCACACCCAGTTTATATGGTGCTGGGGCTGGAACACAGGGCTTTTCACATAGTAGGCAGGTACTCTTACCAACTGAGCCACCTCCCAGTCCTGCATTAATATTTTTAATGGGAAATAATTGGAAACATTCTCCTCAGCGGGAGAATGGGTGTGTCTTCTGGATTCAGCCAATGGAATTCCATAAAGATGGAGAAGGAATGCTGCACAGCACACATGAACAAGATGATGGAGAATTCTGTAAATAATGTTATTTGCACGAGAGAGCTGTGGAATATGGAAAATACAATTCCACTGGTATAAAACTAAAGATGTAAAAATGTTCTATTCTAGTATATTATAAATTAGCCTATAACTTGGCTTCATGAAACAGAATAGAACGTAAGTTAAACCAAATGCTCCATGGGGCAGTTGGGGAAGGGTGGTCAGGGACTGGCACAGTGGCTCTGCTTCATGAGTCTCGGCATCAAGGCTCCTGACTTGTTGCTGTACTCCTGACGAGATCCTGCCCTGCTCCCCAAGGTCCAAGAAGACTTTCTATCATTGCGTCTGTGCTCCAAGCCCCACAATGAATAAACATTTACCTGCTTCTAAGGATTGACCTAGAATTCAGTCATGTGGTCACATGACCTGAAACTGAGGCCCTGAAATAGTCTTCATTTTAGGCAGCCTTATGTGCAGTCCAGATCCCTGTTAAGTTGGAAGATGGAAGAAATGAGCTTTAAGAGACAAATGGTGGATTTCCTTAGGGATATATCCATATGTCCATATATGGTAAATGCTAAAGGGAAGCAATGATCACTCTGGAGCGTGATGCTTCAGGACAGCAGGGAAGGGAGCGGAGAAACAAACTGAGGCCCTCAAGGGGAGTGCCCACATTTCTGGGAGTATCCCGCCCCACCTTTTTTTGACATGGTCTCACTATGTAGCCCTTACTGGCCTGGAACTTGCTATGTAGGCCAGATGGTCTCAAAACTCACAAGAGATCAACCTGTCTCTGCCTCTTGAGGGCTGGGATTAAAGGCATGTGCTACCACACCTAATGAGCACTTCTTAAAACTGAATGTCAGTCTGCTCTTGCAGAGGACCCAGGTTCAATTCCCAGCACCCACATGGCAGCCACACACCATGCTTAACTCCAGTTCCAGGGGAATCCGAAGCCCTCTTCTGACCTCCGTGGCACTGCATGACATGGTTGCTCTCACATACATGCAGGCAGTACATTCATAAAACAAAATAAAAATAATAAATATTTAAATCCTGAATGTCAGTTACATGAATATTAAAACACAATAAGAGCAGTTTATATAAACCGTGTGTATGATTTTACTTAAATGAGCACAAGAATTTATTATTTGGGTTTTGTATTCAATTACTCTTTATCTTGGCTTTTCCTGTTCTTCCTCTTCCAGTCGAGGTAGGTATAGCACTGACCTGGAAGCTGCTCTGCCTGGAGCCTGAAGAATTTTCCCTTTGTTTAAAAGACAGATGATCCTGCTGGGCCTGGTGGCGTATGCCTTTAATCCCAGCACTCAGAAGGCAGAGACAGGCGGATCTCTGTGAGTTCGAGGCCAGCTTGGTCTCCATAGTGAGTTCCAGGCCAGCTGGGGCTACAGGGAAAAAAGATGATCCTGAATGGGCCTCAAACTCACGTTCTGGGAGAGTCTATTTCAGCAGCCCACGCACGGCTCCCACCCCTCGGAATTACTTGGTTTTCAAACCTCAGATCGTGTCCATCCATCAAAAGCACTGCCAGGTACCAGGAATCCACTGATGTATCTCATCTCCCCAACCTCTTCCATTTCTCCTGGAAGAATTCTCATTTCTTCCTCGTCAGCCTAGAAGCCGCCCTGTCTTGAAGATCTCCTAGATTACTCTAGTCCCGCCCTCTCCAGTTTCCTTTGCTCTTTTCATATAAGGGGACTAGACTTTTTCTCCTACTGCTTTGGGGACAGTTTTTCGGGGTACCAGGCCGAGACACATTTCCAAGCTCCCTCCCACAAACTGTGCGACCTTGGTCGAGTCGCTCAAGAGTCCCAGCAATTCATTTGCAAATCATAACTGCTACACCCCCCATGTTGTTTTCAGCACAGAACAGGCATTTAAAGCTCCCACCGCCCGCGACCCAAAATCCATCCTGTGGGTGAAGAGCTGACATGAACCATCAGGTTCCCACTCCCCTTCGGAAGGCGTTCTTCAGGATGGAGGCCGTACTAGGCGAGTCCCTGGGCTTCGTGCCCCACTAGACTCAGGGAAATGAGCAAAGCTCCACGGGGTCCGGTACACAGGTGCACGGCCCCGCCCCGCCCTGCGCCCCGCCAGGCCCGGGCCCAGTCTGGCTCCGGCCTTGCCCCTAGCGAGGCCAGGCCCCGCCAACTTGGCTCCGGCCCCTAGGTCCCCTTCCTTGCCCCCGTGCCCCTATTTACCTATCTCTCGTATTGGCTAGCGTCCCGCCTCACCCCGCCCTTCCCGGCCCCGCCCCGCCCCCAACTTGGCTCTGGCCCCGCCCCGAGTCAAGTTTTGTTCCTCGCTCCGTCCCCCTACTTACCGCTCTCTCGTATTGGCTAGCGTCCCGCCCGCGAGTCGGGTCTGGTTCGTCACTCCCCTACTCACCTCTCTCTTATTGGCGATCGCCCGGCCCCCTTCAGGGACCATTGCGTGTCCGCGTCCGTTGGCGCGTGTCCCCCTCGCCCCGCCCCTCATGACGTCACTTCCTGGCAGAGGACGCGCGGAAGGCGGAAGTTTGTGGTCGGAAGGCGACCTAGCGGAGCTGAGGTGTCGCTTCGCCTGCGGCTTTTCCGGGTCTGTTCGCCGCTCCGCGGAGGACTCTGGCTGCACGGACGGCGGCGATGCGACAGCCGCAGGGCCATCTGGGGTCTGGTGGCTGACGTCCGCACCTTCTTCCCGCAGCGGCCTCTGCTCCAGGGTTCGGCTTGGTGAGGGTCGCGTCGCCCGGACCCCCAGACCCTCACCATGACCGCGGCCGCCACCTCCAAGTGGGGGCTGGTGACGAACGTCGTGAACAGCATAGTGGGGGTCAGCGTCCTCACCATGCCCTTCTGCTTTAAGCAGGTGAGTAGGGGCGCGTGGGAGCCGGGAGGTGGGCACGGTGCGAGGTCTCCGAGGGCAGAGTGCGGGGTAGGGTGCGGGGTCCCCGCGGGCAGGGCGGGGCAGGCGCCGGCGACACCCCGAGGCACGCCGCCCCGTGCGCCCCCGGCTCACCCACCACCACTTGCTGCGGGCACCGAGTTCCCAAGCCCTAGGAATGAGGGAGTGAACGAGAGATGAGCGGATCGGTAGTGCTTTTGGTTACCTGGTGTTGACCCGCAGCAAGTTCTCAAATGCTCATCTCACGCCTCCCAATAGGGCTTGATGTTGATGACAGGCTGCTTTAAAACTCTCTCCAGGTGGTCCGCCCAAGAGCTGCCTTCCGCAGACGCCGCACCTTAGGTCCAGTCTGTGCAAACACTGCCTCGGCGGAAAATCAGCTATGCACAAAAGTTTAGTGTTATTCCAATATTGAATACCACATGAAAGAGGGACCATCTCTAAATGAGCGGGCTTTCCTGGGGCGGATGGAAACATCAATTTGAACGTCTCTGAGGACTCTTAACAAATGAAGGTGGTGAGGCAGCTTCATCCCGGAGCGGCTGAAGTATGCCACGTGCGCGGCTGACCTGCTGCTTCCGGGGAGGGGCCCGCGACTACCTGATGCCTAAAGTAAATGAGTCTAAGATGGACATTTTGGAAGTGAAACTGAGTTGTTGATAGTTTAATTTTAGATGAACAACTTTACATGATTTATTCTTCACATCTCTTGGCTAAAAATAGAAAATTTGATTTAGAGTTCTTTGTCTGACATGGTGAATGTGGGCAGGACAGAGCTGGATGTCATGACAGACTCTGGGTTGACATTTATGTCGTGAATCCCAGTGTTGAGCCAGCCACCTCTGGGTGATTCTGGAGTACTTGCGTGTCCCAGTGGCCATGGCAACTTGCTTGGTAGCAAACTGCATCCTGGAATGCAAGAGACTTGGCTGAATTCAAATCTGCAAGTGAACCCTGCCATCCTTGACGCCTGTCTGAAGTGTGACGTGTATTAGGCTCTGGTTTAGATGCCTGGGAAGACGGACTTTAGGCTCAGATGATCCAGCAGTCCCCAGACTTGGAATACCTGTTGTGTGTGGGTGCTAGACCCCTGCTAAGTGAAGACAAGCCAGGTGGAGACCTGCGCCTAGGGCAGAGCTATCTGAGGCCTCCTACAGGCAATTGGGATGTGTGTTAGTTTAGCAGGCATGCCATTTGAAAGAAGAAGAAAACCTTTTGGTGAGGCTGGAGATGGCTTGGCTCAGCTGTTAAGATCACTAACTTTTCTTGCAGAGGACTCTGGTTTGGTTCCCAGCACCCACAGGGTGGCTAACAAGGGTCCATAATTACAGTTCCAGGGGACCTAATGCTCTCTTCTGGCCTCTGTAGGCACTATACTATAGGGGTGCACTTATATGCAGGCAAAACAGTCATACACATAAAAAGTAAAATTTAAAAAAACAAAAACTTTTTGTTTAGTGTTAGGTTTTTATTTTAGTAATTCTAGTATTTAAAAAAAGATAAGCATTTTATTGTAGTTCAGTTTTGCAGAAAATGGTACATACATTAAGTGTACTCTTTTGTTTGTTTTTTGGGACAGGGTTTCCCTGTAACCCTGGCTAGCCTGAAGCTTGCTATGAGGACCAGGCTGGCCTCAATCTTACAGAGATCTGCCTGCCTGTATGTCCCAGGTGCTGGGATTAAAGGTGTGTGCCACCATGCCCAGCCTACTTTAAGTGTACTCTTAGTGAATCCTGAAGCCATGGTATATGTGTTGCTGTGCATTGAAGATAACACTGACACACCTGCAGTCACTCCTGCCCTCCAGAGGACCACTCCTCACCTCTAGTACCAGAGGTTATCGTGGCCTGGTTTTACTTGCAGGAAGTAGAATTTTAGTGTCTAGGTAGGAGTCAGTATCTGGCCGGTGGTCTGTGTTAGGGATAGACCATGATCTGCATGCCTTTAGGAGGCCTATATGGTGTACTGTTTGGAGCTCTCATGGTGTGATTGATGAATAGGTGTTCCAGCTGTGCTGAGTGTCTAGTGGCATTGCTGTTGACTATGTATCTTGGGCAGAATGATGGGGTCATGAGGTATGTGTACGTTCAGCTCCTAGATCCTGCCTGAAGCTTCCAGGGTGGATATACCCCACCCTGTATGCTCCCACAGCTCCGGTGTCTGAGGCTCTAGTGCTTCCTGTGCTCTGCAGTGTTTGGAATCATGAGTCTTTGAGCCATTCTGGTGAGAGTTTGATGATGCATCATTGGTGTTTTTGGATTGATATGCTTTTTTTTTTTTTTTTTTTTTTTTTAAAACGAGTTTTAGCTTTATGCCCAATTGAGTGGGAAGTACAGGAAGTCCCAGTGTTCATCCTGTTAGCTCCTGCACGGCTGACATGCTGCCTGGTGCTTTCTTTTGTTTTGTTTTATTTACTTATTTTTGACAAGGACCTAACCCAGGGCAAACATTCCCAAATCACTGGTGTTTTAAACATTAAGAATTGTTGATGGGCAGTTTACGTGAAATGAAATGCACCCATTTCAGGGTGTGGTTCCTTGGGTTTTGATGTATTTGTTCAGTTGTGTGGCTGCTGTGTGAGGAAATGGAATTCTGTTTCCTGAAAGTCACCTGTGCCTCTCTGTGGTCAGCTACTCTCTCCCTCAGCCCTGTGACGTGCTCCCTGGCTCTTCTTTCCTGAATGTACTGTAGGTGGCACCACACGGCATGCTGCATTCGTGGCCCCCTTCCCTGCAATGTGGTGTATCCATGCCCTTGCAGGGTTGAGGGTTCCAAACTTTCTTAATGCTGAATAATAGTCTTTTGCATGGTTGGACCAATTTGTCCGGTCACAGTTGATGGCCATTGGTTCATTCTCTGGTTTGGGGTTATGGCTCAACGTGCTGTGAATGCGCAGGTTTGTGCCTAGACATCCCATTTCATGGCTAAAGGTGGTGTGTGTGAGATGGGTGCAGAGAACTGCTAGCTGATGGCCACACCCCACCATTCAGTAGACCTGGGGAAAGGCTTGTTACTGGCAGGGCCCTTTAAAAAAAATATATTTTATTTGTTTTTATGTGTGTTTTGTTTGCATGTATGTAAGTGCTCCTATGCTGTGCAATGCCTTTGGAGGCCAGAAGAGGGCATTAGATCCCCAGAATTGAAGTTAAGGACAGTTGTTAGCCACCGTGTGGGTTCTGGGAGCCTAACCCTGGTTCTCTGCAAGAGCAGCCCGTGCTCTTAAACCCTGAGCCATCTCTCCAGCCCCAACAGGGCTCTTTTAGATCCACACTCAGGATCCCTTCTTCTGCTCCAAAAAACAGCCCTCTCAGATGTCACCCACAGGAGGCGAGGGCCTCCCATTTACATGGATGGAGCAGAGAGGGCCTTCCTGCATGAGCCCCAGCTGCTGTGGGTATATGAGGTGGAGACTCGAGCAGGGGTCTGGTTTTGTAAACCTGTCTTTTTCTCTGTGCCCTGCAGTGTGGCATCGTGTTGGGGGCCCTGCTCTTGGTCTTCTGCTCCTGGATGACACACCAGTCATGCATGTTTTTGGTGAAGTCGGCCAGCCTGAGCAAGAGGAGAACCTATGCTGGCCTCGGTAAGGTCTGCCTCACTGAGTGCTCTTCGGACTGATAGCCCTTCCCAGGAAGTGTGGTGCTCTCGCCTGGGGAGACCTGAGGCTTCACGCTTCTTCATTATTTTCCTATTTTATGTGTATGAGTATCTGCATGGATGTATACACACTGTGTGCATACCTGGTGCCATGGGAGCCAGAAGAGGGTATCAGATCCCCAGGAACTGAAGGCAGAGTTGTGAGCTGCCATGTAGGTGCTGGGAACCCAATCTGGCCCAATCTGGCCAGTACTCTTAAACTACTGAGCCATCTCTCCAACCCCAACCTTCTGTTTTATTTTATTTTTATTTTTTGGTCTTTTTGAGATGGTCTCTTTGTAGCCCCAGATGGCCCAGAACTCTTATGTAGTAGACCAGGCTGGTCTTGAACTCACAGAGATCTGCCTGCCCCTGCCTCCCCAGTGATGGCATTAAAGGCGTGTGCTGCCTTAAGGAATAATTTAAAATTTAATGCAAACTGGGTGTGGTGGTACAGGCCTGTAATCCTGGCACTGGTAAGGCTTTGGCAGGAGTATCGGAAGTTCAAGGCTAGCCTTGACTTCATAGCAAGTTGGAGGCCAGCTTGGGTCACATGAGACTATCAAAAAACAGAACAAGGGTGTGGGGCCTGGGAAGATGGCTTAGTGGTTAAGAGCACTGGTTTCTCTTCCAGAGGACCCAGGTTCTGTCCCCAGCACACACATAGTGGCTAAAAACCATTAACTCCAGTTCCAGGGGATCCAGTACCCTTTTCTGGCTTCTGTGGGTATTGAACGACACGGGTGTACTTACACACATGTAGGCAATACACTCAAACACATAAAATAAAAATAATAAAGTATTTTTTAAAAATTTAAACTTTATTTATTATTGTATGTATATGTGTGTACATGATATGTGGGGGGTGTTACACATGTGCAGACCGGGGTCAGAGCAGAGCTTTGTGCAGTTGATTTCTCTCCTTCTACCTTATATGGGTTCTGGGGATTGAACTCAGGTCACCAGGCTTGTGCAGCAAGAGCCTTCCATCTCACCAATTCATTTTTCTTTTTTCTTTTCTTTCTTTATTTTATTTATTTGCTTAAAATAGGGGCTCACTATGTAGATCAGGCTGGCCTGGAACTCACTATGTAGACCAGGCTGGCCTTAAACCCAGATTAGAGGTGTGAGCCACCACCCCCCACCTTTTTTTTTTTTTAATGAATATTTTGCCTGCATGTGTGTAAGTGCGCCCGTGTCTTACAATGCCCATGGAAGTCAGAAGAGGGCGTCAGATTCCCCTGGAACTGGAGTTATTAACCGCCATATGGGTGCTGGGAATTGAACCCAGGTCCTTTGCAAGAGCAGCCAGACCTCTTCTGAGCCATCTCTCCAGCCCCAATAATAATAGTTTTTTTTTTTTTTTTTTTTTTTTTTTTTTTTAAAAAAAAAAAAAAAAAAAAAAGAGGACGATAAATCTTTCACTGTGATATATCAAAATAACCTTGAACTCACAGAGATCCACCTGCCTCTGCCTCCGGAGTGCTGGAACTAAAGGTGTGCGCCACCACGCCCGGCAATAATAGTTTTTAAAAGCAGCTTTAAAACCTGTCAGTAAGCCCAGCATGGTGGTGCATGCCTTTGAATCCCAGCACTTGGGAGGCAGAGGCAGGCTGATCTTTGTGAGTTCAAGGCCAGCCTGGTCTACATAGTGAGTTCCAGGACAGCTGGGGCTACAGGGAGACCCTGTCTCAAAAAGACAAAAAAACAGAACAAAACAAAACCTGTTAGTAGATTCATCTGTTTCAGAATTGCACTGAGATGCAGGGTGCAGAGCGACAGCCCTCCCTCTCGCCCTTGCCCTCCTGCCTCCTTTGAATAGATGTACACATAGTCCTCTTTGAGTCCAGCAGAATCGCTGTGCCTGTAGCCTTCTGCCGGCTTGCTGGCTTTGTAACTTCTGGTACCAGGAAGCTTCCTTGAAGCTGTTGAAAGGTACTGGGTACCCTGAACTCCCAATCTGGAACTCCATGGAGGACACTCTTCAGGCCCAGGCTTGTGACTGGAACTCAGTGACCCATCCCTCCAAAAGCTGGGCCTTTCTTCCAGTACTGTTGATTCCAATTCTGTTTCCTTTAGTTTTTATTTTAAAACAATTTCAGCCACAAGGAGTGAATACAGCACTTTCTACCTTCTTTTAGGTAGTTTGGCTTCAGTGTGGCACCTTCCTGCCCCTCCCCTCCTCGGGTTGGCATGTGAAGCCCAGGTCTCTTTGCCTGCCAGGCTCAGAGCCTTTCTGCTCTGCAGCCCCTTTGGGATCCTTTGGAGTGGGTGTTGGAATGCCATTCTTCTGTTTTGGCGCCTAACCTTGTGGAGAAATGGCAAAAGTTCCTAGACTCCTGGTGATCCTGGCCCCCAGCCAGTGTGTAGCTGGGGTGTTGCCTTTACCCCAGCTCTTCCGGTCCAGAGAGGCAGCAAAGAGGAGAGGGAGCCGGGTGTGGTGTCGCACGCCTTTAATCCCAGCACTCGGGAGGCAGAGGCAGGTGGATCTCTGTGAGTTCAAGGCCAGCCTGGTCTACATGGTGAGTTCCAGGACAGCTGGGGCTACAGGGAGACCCTGTCTCAAAAAGACCGAAAAAAAAAAAAAAAAAAAAAAAAACAGAGAGGGAGTGGTGCTGAATGCTGGGTGGGCAGGACAGACAAGTAGTACAGAATAAGTAGTTTTTACATGTTGTGGCTGGGACTGGTATGCAGCTGTAGGAAGTGGTGTGTCTGCTCTGGCCCTGGCCCTTCCCCTTCTAGAGCTGCACGTGTGAGAGCCTGCTATGCATCCTCTTGTTTTTTCCCTCTCTGCTTTGCAGGGCACCAATACCCCTGATGCTCATTCCTGGCCTCAGAACCCAAGGGATGCCTTCCTTCTCTTTCTACTCTGGTGACAGTGGTGCTCTGTCTTTTATTGTCACTTGAGGAAGTGAGGCTTATCAGTTAAACTTGACCCTCAGTGAGATGGCCTAGTTCTGTCTGGGATGAAGTGTGCTCCACTAGAACCCAGGGGGCAAGGTGCTTGGGAGGTCTTCGTGGTCTGTGGAGCTGTGGCCTGGTGTATGGCCCTGTCCCCTCTGAGGTCTGTCTGTGTTTTGTAGCTGAGGCCCTAGCTCAAGGATTTATATTCTGAAAGGAGACCTGAGGCCGTAGACTGGGAAGGCCATGGCCGTTTATTCTTCGAAAGTCCCTAAGAAGTCAAACCGGTTTGTCTAGATGTGAAAGACCGAAAGAAAATTGCCAGATGGACACCTCTGAATGCTGGCTGCCTGGGGCTCCAACTTTAATTGAATGGGGTGACTACTGGAAACCACAGACTCCTAAACACAGCGGTCTCAGGTTATGCTTTCGATCCCAAAGAAGAACGCTCAGTTGTGCAGGCCCCCAGATAATCTCCTAGGCTCCCTGACAATCTCCTGGGCCCCCAGACAGTCTTCTGGGCCCTCAGACAATCTCCAGGACCCCCTAGACAGTCTCATGGCCTGCAGATGGTTTCCAGGGCCCCTAGATGGTTTCCAAGGCTCTCAAACAGTCTCCCAGGTTCCCAGCCTCCCAGACCTCTAGACAATCTCTTAGGTCCCCAGACCTAGGTCTCCTGGGCTCTTACATACTTTCCTTTCAGATGCCCAGTTTCTCAGGCCTGTCAACTCAGCACCAGCTTCTCTGTCCCCAAGGTACAGAGACTAGCTGTATGGAGGCTGTGTGGGATACTAGTACCCTAGAATCTGGGAGAGGGTCTCCTGCTGAGGCTTGGCCCTTCAGGTAGTGTGGAGCCCTCTCCTGTGGCTGAACAGACACCTGCTTCTCTCCCTTGTCCTCTGTCCTCTTGCTGACCAAGACTCCCCTGTTCTTGTGCTGTAGCCCATCAAGGTGCTTGGGGTGGAGAGCCCCTCACTGCCTGAAACGTGACAGATGACCCCTGTCTTCAGATGTACAAGCATGTCCTCTGGGCTGGATCATGGGCATCAAAGCTCTGTAGACAAGATGGGCAGGTGGCCTTTGTCCTGACCTGGAGACTAGGGAGGAAGGTAAAGAATTCCCCAAATGGTAGATGTTTCTCCAGCAAGGAGCCTGTTTATTCTTTGCATTCCATGGGAGGGCTGAGGCTTTACATTGCTGCTGTGCATTCATGTCTTGCAATATGGTGAGCCATGGCAGTGACCTCTACTTGACTGAAGCTGCCCTTTTCCTTCAGGCCCTGGAGAAAACATCTCCAGGGTAGAGAATCAGAGCATAGTGGCTTATGGTAATGGATTTGGGCATCAGTTTGTTTTGTTTGCTTTTGCTGTCGTGATTGTTGGATAGTTTCTATAAACTTTGCACCTTCTGCTTCCTTGCCCAGCTTGTCAGACTCCACATGGCCTTTTCTAAACCTCATTTCATTTCAGAAGATAACACAGACATACAGATCAACTGCTTTAGACATCATAGCCCCCTGGGAAGCTGTTCTGAGCTCTGAACCCTGCCCTGAGCATGTGTGCTTCAGGCAGGAAGCCACCTCCCACAGCAGTGGGGACCTTATGACGCCTGTTTGGCTCTTGAGTTCTCAGTTATGAACTGTGGGTGTCGTTGGTGCTGTGTCACCAGGGCTCCATGGCCCATGATGAGTGCGCCTTCCACTCTTTGCAGGCCAAGAATTGTGCCCGCAGTGACTTGGTGCCTGCAGGGTCATAGTGCAGAGCGCCTCTTCTCCCTGAGCGTCCTTGAGTATGTGACCTATGTACCTACCACTTGGCTCAATAAGCGGGCTTCGAAATAGAGCTCTCGGACACCAGGTTCCTTACGCTGTCCCAACCTTCTTGAGCTGGCAGATGCTTCTTACGCACCTGTCCAGTGCTTCTGGTCCATGTCTGTATAGTAGTGGAGACCCCAGGGCCCTTCTCTCTACTCTCGGTGCAGCTCAAACTAAGGACACTGGTTGGCCTCCCTTCCTTGTGTATGCCCCAGTCAGGAACAACACCCTCTTTCCTCCCTGCCTCATCTGTGTCCCCCATCTTCAATAAGCACCCCTTGCTTGGTTTGCTGATGCTTGGTTTTATGACAGGTGCAGGTGGGAGTCAGCTCTGCCTGGCAGCCTGTGACCCTGGGGAAGAGAAAGTGGTGCTGTTTTTCAGGAGCCGGGGAAGATGGGGATTGGCGGGTAGAAAGCCTGGTCTTGGCGTGCAGCTGCTGACAGTGGTCTGAGAAGAGAGAGACAACTGCCTCCTACTGGTCTTTCTACTTGCTGATGCCCTTCACTCTGCTGTGTCTTGTGAACGGGACTCAGTGACTCCAGTGCTGTGTGCTATGATTTAGGCTTCTAAATCAGAGATTGTAAACACAAAAGGAGACTTTATTTTAAAGGCATGTTCTGGAATTTTCTGGGGCAGGATGCTCCAGCATTTACTGCATCATGGAGACTCAGCTTCCTTTTGGAGAGAGAGGGAATGGGAATGGAGGTGGCAGTGGGTCTCTGCCTAGGCCTTCCATGTATTATGCTTGGGTGTTCTGGCACAGGGGTTTGGAGGGCTTTCTGTGGTGATGGAGTAGGCAGCACTGGCTGGTAGGGCCTGTGGAGTTCATGGATTTTTTTGTTTGTTTTGTTTTTTTGTTGTTTTTGAGACAGGGACTCCCTGTAGCCCCAGCTGGCCTGGAACTCACTGTGTAGACCAGGCTGGCCTTGAACTCACATAGATCCGCCTCCCACTGCCTCCCAAGTGCTGGGACTAGAGGCATGTGCCACCACACCCTGGCTGAGTTCATGGTTTTTGAAACTCCCAGTTAAGACCTCGAGTAGCCTCCTGAGCTGGGTTTCAGTCCTCCCTACATGAGCTCAAGGGGTGCTAGGTTCAACGGAGTCTGAGAAAGGCCAGAGTGACCCCTGGAGGCTGAAGTCTTCACCCTTCTCAGGCCAAGCCAAGGCTGATGCCAACTGCTGGGCTTCTGCCAACAGTGTGCCTCTTTCTCAGTTACCCCAACAAGGATTTTGTTTGGCTCATTCATAACCAGTGGATGTGTGTTTCCTGCTCTCCAGCCTCAGAGGGCCACTGGCCCAAAGCGAGGGAGGAAACAAGGGGCAGGAAGCTGGGGCTGTGACAAGGCTGAGGGCCTTCCTGTCACATGCTCTGCCTTTGACTGCTCCTAGGAGACCAGAACTTCCCTTTGCCCTCCTCTGGCTGGACCATGGGGGAAATGCTGGGTGACCGGATAATTGCTAAGGTCCTGGGAGGCACCTTGTTGAGTCAGCATTTAGTTTCCCATCTGCCAGAAATAGTTCTGGAGTCAGGAAGGAAAGACAGAGGCTCCTTTCCTGGTGGGACAGTGTGCTGTGGCCATGCATGCTGGCTGTGTCGGGCCCTGGCAGGCCCCAGAGCTCTGGGTCCTTTCTTCCCCAGAGTGCGGCACTTGCAGGGATTCTGTTCTCTGCAGAGCACAGAAGGGCGAATACGAAGCCCTCTGTAGCATACATGCGGTGTAGGCTGTGAATGCTGGTTCTGGGGCAGGGGCTGGATCTAGCAAGCCCCTCGAGCTCTGCTCCCTCTTCCCCTGCTCTAAGTGGGGCTGCCTCTGCTGCACTGGCTCTGTTTGTTCTAAGCAGGCCTCCTCACAACGCCTCTGGGAGAAACTGCTACTTTATAGGTCCTCCCTTCTCCCGCTCCTCTCAGTATTTCGTATGAAGTAAACAAACAAGAACCCTGCCTGTGCTCCCCTTGCTTTGTTCTTGTCCCACATGGTTTCATTTGTGGATGGTAGTTCTGAAGAAAGCCTGGGGAACGGTTTGAAAGTATCTCCTTATGTCCATGAAACTTCCGACCAGCCGATGCTTGTCAGATTGCCAGTCACAGCTTTTCTCAGTGCTTTTTCCAAGGTGCTTCTCAGACCGTTGAATGAGGGCCCCTTCTCTTCTCTTTCTGCCAGCGTTCCATGCCTATGGGAAGGCGGGGAAGATGCTGGTGGAGACCAGGTAAGCCGAGCGGCCTTGCTCAGTTGCATTCTTGTTCCTGCAGTGGTGGAGGCTTTAACTGGGGCTTGTTAGGAGGTGATACGTCTCACATATGGATTGGTTTATGACTTCTAATATGTTTCTGAAGAGCTACTTACGGAATAGTTGGAAGTCTTATTTATTGTACCCTTAAAATGATTGTTGTCAAGGTTGAAAGCCTTATTTAAGTCTTACTAAGAAGTACATAAAAATGGAAAACTTGGGGAACACAGCAAAATAGCTCTCTCTGTTGCAGTTAATCTCAGTGCTGTTCCTTAACCGCTGAGCCATCCCTCCAGCTCCATCAACACTGTTCCTTAAACTGCACTCCCCAGCACGGCTGCGGAAAGGCAGCATTAAGCTGAAATGTCACACTCTTCTCCTTTGGAGCAAAATTTTATGCGATGAAAAAATTGCCTGGAAATTGCACTTTTAGGCTTCTAAATCAGGGAATTGTAAACGTGAAAGAAAACCTTTTTCGGAGGCAGTTGATTGTTCTTCTAACTTGTCTAATATCACTGCATTTTTGTCACACCTGAAAGAACTTTCTGAACCTCCTGTGGAGAGAAAAAATGATATTACACAGAGAAAAGTTCAGTGTGGCTCGGTATTCACCCCATGTGCAATGGGGAGTGCCCTGCATGCCCCGTCCTATGAGCGTGGACATTAAAAACTGCCTCTCGGCACAGCCCAGGGACTGGACCCAGCCCTGGGTGCCAGACTGGATGCCTGTGACTTGAGTCTGTGAAGGTACCCAACTTTGATCATAAGACTGCACTCTCCTTCAAATACAGTTTCAAACTGCTGGTTTCCTTCTTCACAGCATGATTGGGCTGATGCTGGGGACCTGCATTGCCTTCTATGTTGTGATTGGTGACTTGGGTTCCAACTTCTTTGCTCGGCTGTTTGGGCTTCAGGTAAGGGCTAGCCCTCTGGTCTGTTCTAACACTTGTGGCTGCCATCTTACGCCTCCTTTCTCTAGGCCGGCTGAGACCAGTGTGTTTGACCTGGAGAAGCTTCCCATGCCTGCCATCCACTCAGGTCCCCTGGCCTGGACTTCAGGGACCTTGCTTGAGTAGTGTCTGACAAATACCAGGAGAGGGAAGAGAGGGCAGGCGGTGGTACAAGCCTGACAGTCTGCAAGGTGAAGGGCAGGAGGGAGGAGCAGGAGGACAGTTCACTTCTTGGTGTGACTCAGAGAAGGCCTCAGCCTTCCAGTGCTGCCCATCAAAGGGCAGAAGAGGTCAGGCCCTCGTGTGGCCACTGTGCTTGTCTGTTGGCCAGTACAGTCATGCAGGGAGCTCAGTCTTCACGTTGCCAATAGGACTGTGAAGGCTCTGCTCCCAGAGCCAGTCATTTAGCTCTGTGCACCCTCCAAGCTTACCACTCCCTGCCCCGAGGGGTTCCACCTGTGAACTGCTTGCCCCCACCTTTCCTGCCCTACTGGGGAACCAGAGATGTAGGGTCTTTCCTGTGAGGGGTCCTTCATATTTGTTTACCACCAAGTACAGAAGGATTTTCGTTTATGAAGATGGCAGCTGAGGGGTAGTCTTCATGAGTAGAGTGTGTTCGATTAGCGCCGTGTTAGAATTCTTTTTCCAGTGAGTATCCTATGAGTATGGCCCTTGTCTGTGTTCTGATGTGTCTTTCCGTTAGACCTCACACCTCCCACACTTCCTGTGGACCCGAGGTCCTGAACACAGGTACCTGGGACCTATCCCAAACCTTCCAGCCTGTGCCAGGGCCTGACCTCTTACTCATGGTTCCGTGAAGCTAAGCAGGACAGTGCTGGCCTCTGCAGCCTTACAGTGGTTCACACAGAGCTGCCTGTCCTCATCCCCTTTTGTGTGTAGTGTTCCCATTCCGAGAAGTGTGAAGTTGTTTAGGTTTGCAGGTATTCACAGCTGGGATAAGTGCCGAGGGACACTAAGGGTTTGGCAGTGCTGATCGCCTCTAGCCTCCTCTGTCAGCTATGAATACTGAACCAGGAAGTTAGATGTGCTGGCTGCGTCTGAGTTAGATGTTAGATAGCCCCAGACCTTTGCTTGCTAGTGAATGCCATCTGGAGTTTGTGGTGAATTCTCTCCTTCAGTGTTTTCTCCTGAAGCAGGGTCAGCTGAGTTGTGTGGACTCCTTTGGGTGTCTCTACCCAGTCAGTGCTAGATGTGCTGGGCATGCCAGAGTAGTGCAGGCCCCACTCTTGCTACATTCCTTCTCTGCAAAAAGCTCACAGCTGACCTTTTTGCCTTGGCTAGTCTCATGAACTGGGTTGGACCATACAGGGCCAGAGTCATTCAATACTTCCATCACATGGCACAGCTGCTGAGGGGCACCTTTCAGAGTAATTGTGCCAGGCTTGACTCACCCTACTCCGTGGCGGCACTGGTAAGATGAGCTTTGCCAGTGAGCAAGCTCAGGGCTGCAGTCCACGGGCACCCTGCTGATTCCCTTCCAGGTGACCGGCAACTTCCGTGTGTTCCTGCTCTTTGCTGTGTCCCTGTGCATCGTGCTCCCGCTCAGCCTGCAGAGGAACATGATGGCCTCCATCCAGTCCTTCAGCGCCATGGCGCTGCTCTTCTACACCGTCTTCATGTTTGTGGTGAGCGCATGCGCTGTGAAGGGGGTTGGTTACGGCTTAGTCCTTCCCATAGCTATAAAAGGTACATGCCAGACTCGGTTTAGCCGCCAGCCACCTTGTAGGGGATGATGGGAAAGTGGTTCTAAGTCTTGGAACTGTTAGAGTTACTAGAATGCCATGAAGACTACATGTCTGGTCGGTGACACCAGAGGCAGGGCTGCTAGACAGCAGGATACACTAAGTGCTCTGGCCAAGAGGGACTTGAGACCGGCTTCCCTTTACCCAGGCTCTGGCAAGTACAAGTGTTCTATGGGAGGGTCTTTCATGTGGGATATGTGGCCAAGTTTATAGTGCAGTGTTTTGTCACATGGTGGCCAGTTGTCATTTTTCCAGATGGGCTTTTTTTTTTTTTTTTTTTTAAAGATTTAAGATTTTTATTTGTGTGTGTGTGTGTGAGAGAGAGAGACTTTGTGTCTGCTGTGTGTGTGTGGTGGGGGGGTTGTTCACAGAGGCCAGAAAGAAGGTGTCAGATTCCCTGAGCTACAGTTACAGGCAGTTGTGAACCATCTAATGTGGGTGCTGGGAACTGAAGTCGGGTCCTCTGGAAGAGCAGCAAGTGCTTTTAACCCCTGAGCCATCTCCCCAGCCCCATCATTTTTCTAAACAAGTGAGGCCTTGACACTGAGGGTATAGAGACCTATGAGTCCTCATTGGTCTGCTGCCTGGTCCTGCTGAGCTACTGTGTTCACCATCAGTGGTGGGGAAAGGGACAGGTGTCCTTGCAGGAGGCTTGCACTGGTCTGGGAGGTGGGTTTCTCTTTGAAGCCACAGTCTGACAGTGCCTCTTAGCTCTCTAGGACCAGCTGGGTGACAGCTCCTGACTGTCTGCCAGGCAGGTCTAGGGTAAGGAAAAGAAGGACTCGCCCTTCTCGAGGGCGCTGCTTTCTGTAATTTGAGACAGATCCAGGGCTAGGTTTGGTGGAAAAGGTCGTGCTTCTGTCTGTATTAGGTGCCCCTGCTCAGGAGCAGCCTCACTACATGCAGAAAATGCCGTGCAGCTGGGTACATACTTCATAGTGCTTGGGTAGCCTCAGGTGTGGACTGGGTGCCCTGGGGCAGGGAGCCAGGCAAGGTGGGAGCCTCCTGCCCATTTAGACAGCTCTAGGCTGCACATGCAAGAGTAAGTTGGCTGTGGTATAGAGAAGAGCCACACCTCTGCCTCCTTTCTCGTGTGATGCCTGATGGGTGCAGCCATACCTGCCCCTGATCTGTGTCCTGCTCTCTCCTGGGTGTAGATTGTGCTGTCCTCCCTTAAGCACGGGCTCTTCAGTGGACAGTGGCTGCAGCGGGTCAGCTATATCCGCTGGGAGGGCGTCTTCCGCTGCATCCCCATCTTCGGCATGTCCTTCGCTTGTCAGTCGTAAGTACTGCTGAGATGGAAGTGGGATGGAGGTAAGAGGAGGGGGTGTGAGGGTATGGGATTGAGAGGAGTTGGCAAGACATAAGTCTGGTTTTCTTACTTCTTGAGTTGTTTGTTACTGGCCACCAAAGACTTTTACCTTGTTCCATTGTGACCTTTTCCCTTTAGGCTGGGAGGGGGATTTCTGTGCTAAGCCAGAAAGAAGCTGTTGCTGGGACTAACTGGCAAGGGTGCCTAGTTTGCTAGATCCCATGAGAGGAGAGTTGGCTGTGGGGTGCGACAGCAACCCAGCCATCTGATTGCGCAGAGTTGCAAGTGTTTTGCCAGAATTTAACTGTTCTTCTGAGAATATTTAAAAAGAAGTTGCACAAACATTGACTTTCGGCTGTTGCTGGGATGTCTGAGGCCTGTGCGTGCGGGCAGGCTCTTTGGCACGCCAGGCTCTGTGTAGAACGGGCCTCACTGCCATCGCGGCAGCACTCCTCCACCAGGGTGGCAGGAGCTAGTGACGCGTGCCCGGATGGGAAGAGTAACCAGCTGAAAAGGGAGGTGTAAATGCAGCATGGATGGGAAAAGGCCATCAGCGTGGGGGGGCTGGCAAAGCTGGGCCCCCCCAGTGTCGATGGGCATGTATTGTGCCAATCATAAACTAATGTGACAGAGAGAATTTGCTCACACTGCTGTGTTTACACCCACGTGCACGATCCAAATCGTCATTTCCCACTTGCCGTCCCTCTTGGCAGCTCTGTTTGCAGCAGAACGTGCTCCAGCCTTGCTGCTTAATGTCCCCATTATCATCGGTGACAAGTTACATTCTTGTGCCGCGTACCTAGTTACCAGTTGTCCTTTCTGTCCGCGTGTTTGCTTTTTTAAAAATAAGCCTGCGGTTGGGCTTTGGTGGTGGCCACGTAGCAGGCAGTGCACATCTGTGGGTTGATTCTTAGGGCAAATTACAGGTTCCTGGAGGGTGGGAGCATGATGCTCGCTAAGTGCTGGCTTTGTCTCCTTCCCAGGAAGACCTGGGGCCACAGACTTGTCCTCATTCCTGGTGGTCAGATGCTGTCCCCGGGCATCTGTCCACTGGAATGTTTGCCAGGCGTGCTGACAGGGTTCTTTCCTTCTCAGTGGCCTGTACCAGAGGGGCCTGTGTCAGGCCCCTGGCATTTGCCTGGTGTAGTTGTTGCTGTTACTCTCTGGCCCTTTTGATCTTATTTCATGGTAAATGAGTCTTAGGCTATACAGATCTGTCATCACGGGCCCAGAGAAATGGCCACATTGAACATAGAAGACCTGTGGGACAGTGTGCCTGGAGACCTCACTCTGGGCCCAAGCAGTGGGGGCAGTGGGGCATCTCAAGAGTTGTGTGTTGCCATGGAGACTGCTCTGTGACTGGGGCAGCTGGGATTGGAGTGAAGCCTTTTCACCCTGTCTGACCCCATGTGCCCAGGCACATCTCCCTCCACAGCAACTGCAGTGTCCTTGGCAGTGTATATGTATGAATGTGCATCTGTGCACATGCCCTGGACCTCTAGTTGAGGTCCCCCACCTCCAAACTGGGCTCTTTGCTCTTAGAGGACTAGTCAGCCCTGAGAAGTCAGTGCTGAGATCAGATCTTCCTCAGAGCGCTATGCCAGGGCTTGTGGTGACTTCCTTTCTGTCCCTGGAGCTTTGCAGGAGGGCTCTGCCTGTCTCCTAGTCCAGCTGTTGTGGTGGCCCCTAGACTGAGGTGGGCTTCAGCCTAATGTGGACAGGGATCTGGGCATTGCTTGACCTTTCCACTGTTCTTGTCTGCTTTTGATCAAAGTAGTATTGTCTCCTGTGTCTGTACTTTTTAGCTCCACTGATCCTTGTGCTTGTCTGTTTATTGGATGCTGATTCCCTGCATGCACATACATGCGTATGCACACTTACTTGCCCCACTGTCCCTATCTGGCTTCCTCTGTGCCTTTGAGCTTGTCTAGAAGGCCGGCCCCAGGTCCCCTGACATGCTGTTTGCAGAGAGCCTTCGTGAGATTGTTGTAGACCTGCCTTCCTGGTGACTCTGTCCCTGCCACCCACCCAGCAACAGCAGCACACTTCTGGCACTGGCCTAGGACAGAAGCCAGTTTTCTCATATAGGCGAGAGGCTGCAGGTTGGGAAATGTGCCTGGGCTGGCTCCTGGTCTGTGCCCACCTCTGCGCCTGTGCGCAGAGCTGAGAGGGCTGTGGTCGGCAGACTCATGTTTATTTGACTTTCCCAACCCTTGACAGTGATGGCTGCAGTGGCCTCCAAACTGCCCTTTATGCAGGCTGCTTTCCTTCTCAGCACCTTGCCCCCTGCAGTCACATTCACACTTCCATGGCAGAGTGCTGGTCCCACAGTGCTTGCGGGGTGTCTGCCCTTTCTGTGGTGTAGGTTGGTAGGCCTTATCTCAGCACTACCATCCATAGTGTCACCAGCTACTGGACTTGATCCAGTGAATCATGGTGTGTGGTGAATGTTGTGGGAAGAAGTGCCAGAGGCTTGTTGCCTGGGCCATTTTGATAGAGGTCTTGGGAACTCTCAGGAGGGTGGGTGAGGCTCTGGAGTCTGCTGTGTGACTTCTTGTCTTTACACAGCCAGGTGCTGCCCACCTATGACAGCCTGGACGAGCCATCAGTGAAGACCATGAGTTCCATATTTGCTTCCTCCCTCAACGTGGTCACCACCTTCTATGTCATGGTACGAGCCATTCCATACTCTGTCCCTAAGACACATCAGCACAGGGCACTGCTTGCACTCAAGACCTCATGTGGCCTTTACTGTCCATCTCTCAGGGTCACAGGCATGCTCTTGTTGCCCCTTCCCATCCCACTGTCTAGAGGTGCACTGTGTGGAGACCCGGAGCAGCTGTGCTGCCCAGACCCAGCCATTCCAGAGCCCTGGCCTGTGAGCTGCTTCTGCCCCAGGCTGTGTTGGCATAATCTATCCTTCCTTCCTTCCTTCCTTCCTTCCTTCCTTCCTTCCTTTCTTTCTTTCTCTCTTTCTCTCTTTCTCTCTTTCTCTCTCTCTCTTTCTTTCTTTTCCTCCCTCCCTCCCTCTTTCTTTCTTTTCTTTTCTTTTCTCTTTTCTTTTCTTTTCTTTTCTTTTCTTTTCTTTTCTTTTCTTTTCTTTTCTTTTCTTTTCTTTTCTTTTCTTTTCTGTGTTTTGGGGCAGGGTCTTTACTCTATCCCTGGCTGGCCTGGACCTTGCTATGTAGATCAGTCTGGCCTCAAACTTGTGGGGTCTCCTGCTGCTTCCTCCCAAGCACTGGGGTTGTAGGTGAACACTGCTATGCCCAGTTGTGTTGCTGTCTAGTCTGAAGAGATCAGGCACTTTAGCCACAGGACTGGTCGCACACTGTCTTAACTGGAAGACTGGTTTGCCATCTCACCATGACTGATGATTGTGAATTCCCTATAGAGTTGGGGTTCCCATTAAAGAGAAATGAGGAATGTGAGATGCCAGAGCATGAGAGTACCTTAAAGTCCAACCCACAAACATTGCTGACACTTCCAGTCCCATGAATGTATTTATTATTGTTATTTTGAGATAGGATATCACGGTGTAGCTGAAGCTGGCCTGAAACTCACTATATAGCTCAGGCCTTAAACTCATGATCTTCATGCCTCAGCCTCCCGAGAGCTGGGATTATACCACCTCGGCCTCTGTTTATTATCTTTAAATAAGAATCTGGGACTGGGTAATTAGCTTAGTTGGTAGAGTGCTTACCTTGCATGCATTGACTCCATTGGTTTGATCTCTAGAACCACAGGGCAAAAGACCCCATCTCAAGTGAGAATACAAATGTGCTCAGGGTAGAGCTTTTCCCTTCCCTCCTGGTTCCCACCATTCTTCTGGGTGGTCACACCCACAGTTATTTGATGGATTGTGTTTGTAGTTTTGGTGGGTTTTGCCTGCTTGTTTTGGTCTTTTTGAGCCAGGATTTCCCTGTAGCCCTAGCTGGCCTGGAACTCACTCAGTTTTGGTGTTTGACAGGGTCTCACTCTGTGGCCTGGGCTGGCTTTGAATTCATGGTGCTCTTCCTGCCTCAGCCCCCCAAGTGCTGGGATTATAGGCATGAGCCACTGCACCAGGCTCTTTGAAAAAGAATCTCACTGTGTAGTCCAGGCTGGCCTGGAGCTCTTCATCCTCTGCCTCCTGAGTGCTGAGATCACAGGTCTTTGGCTGCTGTTTTGAGTTTGAAACTAGATTAAGAGTAGCTCCTGTGACCAACGTGGGGGCATCTGGTACCTTCTTTCCATGTAGGCAGCTCTATTTTTACCTTATCTATGTTGAAGTTTTAGATAGATAGATAGATAGATAGATAGATAGATAGATAGATAGATAGATAGATAGACAGATAGATAGATGAGAGAGAGATAGATAGATAATTGATTTTTTTTTTTTTTTTTTTGAGACAGGGTCTCCCTGTATGTAACCCAGCTGGCCTGGAACTATTGAAGTTATATTTGACCTCCCTTCAACATTTCATCTCTGGTTATCAGAAGTTTTATGACTGGGAGGGTGATTCATTTGACTCCATTGGGAAGGGGCTTTCAGACCATTCTAGGGTGGGACAGACACACATGTACACCCCAGGATAAGTGCTGAACTGGCAGGCAGAGCTGGCCATGTTACTGTTTCTCCTCTTCTGACAGGTGGGGTTTTTTGGTTATGTCAGCTTCACCGATGCCACTGCTGGCAACGTGCTGATACACTTCCCCTCCAATCTGGTGACAGAGATGATCCGCGTGGGCTTCGTGATGTCCGTGGCTGTGGGCTTCCCCATGATGATTCTACCATGCAGACAGGCCTTGAACACACTGCTCTTTGAGCAGCAGGTATGATCTTTTCCCCTTGGCTCACGCTGGTTGTTTCCCTGGATGGTGGTAGGTAGAGCTTTTCCTAGTTAGAAGTAAGCAAGCTTTTTTTTTTTTTTTTTTTTTTTGAGACAGGGTCTTCCTGTGGCCCCAGCTGGCCTGGAACTCACTTTGTAGACCAGGCTGGCCTTGAACTCACAGAGATCTGCCTGCCTCTGCCTCCTGAGTGCTGGGATTAAAGGCATGCACCACCATGCCTGGCAGAAGTAAGCAAGATTTAAAAAAAATTGTGACTGTGTGTCCTGATTGTGTGTGTGTGTGTGTGTGTGTGTGTGTGTGCGTGTGTGCGTGTACGCTAATATTTATATGATGTGCATGTGAGTGCTGGCATATGTGTGACGGTCTCCTTCCATTGTGGGTTCAGGGATTGAACTCAGATTGTCAGGCTTGTGTGGTGACCCTCTGGGCCATCTCACTGACCCATGCAAACTTTAATAGAAATGAATTCTTGGGTTAATTAAAAATTTTAAATTATGCTGGGTGTGGTGGTGCATGCCTTCAGTTCTAGTACTTGGGAAGCAGAGGCAGGGGTATCTCTGTGAATACATAGATAGACCAGCTTGGTCTACATAGGGAGTTCCAAGCCAGCTGAGGCTACAGGGAGACCCTGTCTCAAAAAACCCAAAACAAAAACCCAAAACAAATAAACAAAAATTTTTATTACATTTATTTGGGTTTTTTGTTGTTGTTGTTGTTTTGTTTGTTTGGTTTTTTGGTTTTTTTTTTTTGGTCTTTTTTGAGTCAGGGTTTCCTTGTAGCCCCAGCTGGCCTGGAGCTCCCTATGTAGACCAGGCTGGTCTTAATCTCACAGAGATCTGATCTGCCTGCCTCAGCCTCCCGAGTGCTGGGATTAAAGGCGTGCACCACCACACCTGGCTTATTTGTTCATTTAATGTGAGCAATGCTTGCAGACACTCGGTGCCATGTGCATATGTGGAGGTGTGGTGGTCAGAGGACAGCTTGCAGCTTGGTTCTTTCCTTCCACCTTATGGGCTCCAGGGATCAAACGCAGGTGATCAGGCTTGGCAGCAGGAACCTTCACCCATCAAGCCATCTCATGGGTCCTGTGTTGGGTTATTTTGAGAGAGGAGTCTGCCATGTATTTCAGGCTGGCCTTGAACTCAATATTCTCTCACCTTCACCTCTTGAGTGCTGGAATTACAGGTGTGTACCACCATGCCCAGGTGAATTGAAGTCTGGCTTTTTAAAAAATTTTAAATTGCCAGGTGTGGTGGCACATGCCTTTAAGTCCTAGCACTTAGGAGGCAGAGGCAGGCGGATCTCTGTGAGTGTGAGGTCAGCCTGGTCTACATAGTGAGTTCCAGGCCAGCTGGTGTTACAGGGAGACCCTGTCTCAAAAAGACCACTAAAAATTTTTTAAGTTACATTTGTTTATTTATTTGTTGGGGGCGGGGGGACTCAAGTGCCGTAGTACCACAGTATGCACATGGAGGTGGTAGGAACACCTTTGGAACCCAGTTCTCTCCTTCCACCATGTGAATTCTGGGGATCAAACTCGGGTCATCAGGCTTGGTAACAAGCGTCTTTACCCACTGAGCTGTCTTTTTTGTCCCCTGAAATGGAATTTTTTTTTTTTTTAGTCTTGAGACAGGGTCTCCCTATAGCCCCAACTGGCCTGGAATTCACTGTGTAGACCAGGCTGGCCTTGAACTTACAGAGCTCTGCCTGCCTCTGCCTCCCAAGTGCTGGGATTAAAGGCATGTACCACTATGCCTGGCTGAAATGGAATTTTTTTAAAATTTCATTTATTTTTATTTTATGAGTATAAGTGTATTGCCTGCTTGTGTATAAATGCATCTGTGTCATGCAGTGTCCTCGGAGGTCAAGATGTGTGTGTGGGGTGGCTGGAGGGATGGCTCAGCGGTTAAGAGCACTGACTGCTCTTGTAGAGGACCCAGGTTTGAGTCCCAACACCCACATGGTGGCTACAAACCATCCTTAACTCCAGTTCCAGGGGAATCTGAAGCCCTCTTCTGACCTCCGAGGCATTGCACGACACAGGTGCACTCACATACATCCAGGCAATACACTCATACACATAAAATAAAAATTAAAAAAAAAAAGATGTCGGATTCTTTGGAACTAGACTTATGGACAGTTGTTAGCAGCCATGTGGGTTCTGGGAACCAAACCTGCGTCCTCTGCAAGAGCAGCCAGTGCTCTTAACCACTGAGCCGTCTCTAGCCCCTTGAAATGGAGGTTTTCATAGTGATCTTCCCTTCTCTGTGGCTGGGATTGAACCTGAGGCTCATCAATGCCAGAGTACATTCGCACTCCTAAGTTGACTCCCAGATCCTTGATCAGGCATCTTTAAAATCAACCGCGGTAAAAAGAGCACCAAAGAGCAGTCTCTGGGCCTCAGTCGATCTCTGGGCCTTGCCAGCATTGATGCTAGCAAGTTTAAGTCAGAGAAATAGTGGAACTTGAGGACTGTGGTAGGGGGTCCTGGAGAGGCTGTGGTGGGGACACGGGTACCAGATTTATTGGCCAGCATGGTCACAGCTAGAGTCATGGGATGGGCTTATTGTGTTGTCCTTTTACCTTGGTGTGGTTTTGTATAGCTTGGTGGTAGAGTACTTGCATAGTATGTGTGTAGCTCTGGATCCCCAGCCGTGTAAAAAAAAATCTTAATAATTTTAACAAAGATTTTCGAGCTGTAGTATGTCTTCAAGGCAGTGTCTTAGTCCTTCACAAGAAACATGCACACAGAAGGCTTGAAACCCAAAGGCTCTTCTGGTCCCTGCTTGCTGTTGCATTGACAGCCAAGGTGCTCTTGTATGCCTTGTGCCCACAGTCAAGCCTCTCCCAGTCTCAGCTTCCTCCCCACTTGATCACAGGGGCCACCCTCTCTTCTGGGTCTAGCAACATAGATCCAGCGTCTAGGCTCTTCTGTGTGATGGAGTCTTTTGCTTCAACCCTGATGTCTTAGTGCCTGGGTTGTCTGATTACCCAGAAGTCCTGGTGTCTAGAGACTTAAGGTCACTCACTCACTTAGGGCGAGGAAGGGATTAGTGGTCCCAGAGGGGAGAGTCTGAGCTCTCGGGACCAGCCGGCACAGGGCCCCTTATCCACATGGCTAGGTACATGGTCACGGTAGTGAGGCAGTTCTCTCCTTCCTGTGAACTTGCCTAGCAGTGGCAGCAGAGGCCCAGCCCCAGGGCTGACTGCCTGTCGCATGCTGGCTCTTGGTCTGCCTTTGCTGCTGTTTGTGTGCCTTGGTGCTGGGCACAGTAGAATTTAGGACTTTGGCCCTTGAGGGGCAAACGTGAGATCGGCTCATGTGGCCATGGGATCACCCTGCTCTACCTCTGCCTGTGGTTGCTCAGACCCGTCTCTCCCTGCTGGGAGTAAGCTTGGCGTTGGACGTGTGGTTCAGATTGGAGCAGTGTTGGTGCTTTGTGTATAGTGCTCGTTTGCTTGTTGTGTGAGACAGGGTCTCCGTGTAGCCTCAGCAGGCCTGGAACTTGCTATGTAGGCCAGGCTGACCTCGATCTCACAGAGATCTACCTGCCTCCTGAGTGCTGGGATTAAAGGCATGTACCGTCATGCCTGGCTCTTTTTCTTTTCTTTTTTTAAAGTTAAAATCAATAATGGCATGAAAGGAAGTATTAAGAAAGGTCACCTACATCCCTGTCCTTCACACAAATGTAGCCACTTTCCTTGTCTGTCTTCGTGTCTGTTTAAAGTGTTCCTCTTGGTCTGTTTTCAGTAGGTTTCCTTGGAGCCTGTCTCTGTGTATCCATGGAAACCCACAGCACCTCTGCCTGTTGCTCATCCTCTTCTTGATGCTCTTGTCATAGGGATCTCTAACTCCCCTGTCTGTATGCGGGGGTCCCTGCTTCCCCTTTTCAGAGCCTTCCTTGGTAAACATCTCATACTGGGTCTAGGACTCCTGAGTTGTGGGCTGAAAGCTGTAACAAACTTGTCATCCCCAGTTCAGTGAAAGGTTCCAGCTCTAGCTGCCCCAGTCCATCCTACATGTATGTTTATTATGAAAATTGGCTGCTTTGAAATTCTGGTTCTGGAAGGTCCAGCTGTTCCTAGCCCAGGGGTGATCATTCTGTCCAAGCCTGTGTGTGTCGGTTCATGTGAGGATCAGCATCGTGATGAGGACATCCTTCTGTTGGTCTAGGGGACAAAGGCTCACAGCTGGTGCCTGCAGAGCCAGATCTGAGTCAGGCTGTGTGGGACTCTTGGGCATGGGGAGTCTGAGGCCAGCACCTGTCTGCTGCTGTACCTGAAATGGGTGTCCTGTGTCTCAGGGCATGGAGTGTGAGGCCAGGGTGCTGGGCTGTGCTACACTGAATCCTCCACTTTCCTTCTTCCTGGACTTTGACATTGTTAAGTACCATCATGGAACTGTTGGGAATGATGGTAACTCTGTGTGTGTGTCTGTGTGTCTGTGTGTCTGTGTGTCTGTGTGTCTGTGTGTGTCTGTGTCATATGTGTGTAGGGCTTCTGCCCTCAAGCTGTACACTGAGGAGAAGCTGGATCATTTGGCAAGGCTGTCCCCGTGGAGTCAGTATTCTGCCCTCCACAATTTGTGTGTCTTTTAAAGACAGTTTTGTCTGAAAACAGAAAGGCATGATGCTATTTCCAAACAGAGCTGTAAGATTAATGCTCACTACCTGGAGGAAGCACTGTGACTTCCTGGCGTCTGCAGGCTTCCATTAAAGCTACTCAGTCAAATCTGATTTTGCTGGTAACGCTCACCTGCTAGGTGAGCTGCCTTCTGGCCCCACGTGGATACTGGTGCACCTGCCAGAGCCCTGCATGGCATTATGCCATGGAAGAGTCCGGCTATTTCAAACCTTTTTGTTTTCTTTCTTGTAGCAAAAAGATGGGACTTTTGCGGCTGGAGGCTACATGCCCCCACTCCGGTTTAAAGTGCTCACGCTCTCAGTGGTGTTTGGAACCATGGTTGGTGGAATCATGATCCCTAATGGTAAGGTGGGCTGCCACTGCAGTGACTGGCCCTGCTGCCTCTTTTCTGTCCTGACTTTTGCTCCGTTCTCCTGGGGGGACGGACCCAAGACTGTCCCTGCCCCATACTTGGCATTTAGCCAAGACTCCCAAAATCACGCCATCTTCTCGGGTATCCTAAATATAGATTAGAAACTCTCAAGCCGTTTTTTCCTTTGGCCTGTAGACAAAAGCTCGGTGGCCTAATTGAATGGCAGACTCTGGGGGTAGGACACAGGCCTGATCCTGCAGCAAGCAACTGACTGTACAGCTGCTTGTTTTACTGTGCCTGTTGACGACTGAACTGCCTGCCATCACAGTGCCAGAGGAGCATTGGAGGCCCTGGGCTGCCTTGATGTTGTCCATATATTCCCATACCCTAGCAGACTAGTCAGAGCTTACTGTCACCAAACACAGGAGCTTGTAGGCCCTCACCCGTTCAGATTTCTGGCAGTGGCTTCAGCCAACCAGCACCTTGTAGCCCCTTTTACATATCTTAGGACAAGTCACTAGGTTACTTGTTAAGTGATGATAGTGTGTACTAGGCCATGTAGAACTAACATCTGATTTTGCTAGGAAACGCCCTATGATTGGCCCTTTAAAGATGAGCTATCGGAAATTCCCATGGTGCCCCACTCTGGCAAATCTGAGTGTGAGGAGGAGTGGATGGGGTAGGATGGTAGTGGAGTCCTCTGTCCTCACTGGCACTCGGGCAGCCTTTGCAGTGACCCCACTCCCCTGTGTGCTGGCTGAGGGCCATCTCCTAATCACCCCTTGCTGTCTGTTCCTAGTGGAGACCATCCTTGGCCTCACAGGAGCGACGATGGGGAGCCTCATCTGCTTCATTTGCCCAGCTCTGATCTATAAGAAGGCCCACAAGAGTGCCCTCTCAGCCCAGGTAAGTGTGTGCCCTAGCCTGTGGGGGGAGGTGAATGTTGCCCCCATGGTGGTCTGCTCAGCCAGGCTAGTCAGAGGGCAGCAGATACAGCCTTCCACCCCCACCCCAGGGTCTTCAGATAGGTTCTCTCCACTAATTTTTAGTGTCTTGGCAGAAAAGGTACTTGGTCAAAGAGACGTGGGAAATAGTGATTCCAAGGAAGTAGAGTGGTTGTTGCCCCATGGGCCTTCCCTGAGAGGATGCTTTCCCTCTTCCCTAAAGTGTGTTCATACTGTGATTAGGCTGACCCTCCCCAGGCATTCACTCCCCTGAGAACCCCACTGCTGTATTAGTGGTGTGTTCTAGAAAGACTATGTTTGTGTGCATATGTGTGGGCATGTTCACGGTTTTTGTTTTGTGTTTTTACTAGTCACAACAGCTTCCTGGTACTTTTGCATATCATCCATGGCAGGTTGCTCCTTAGTTTTGAGTACGAATACCCAGAGTTGCGTTCTATTTTTAACTGTTTCCTAGTAGTTCACTGTAGGAAAATTCTATACTCCTGGCCTCCCACGGCCATCTCCAGCCTTTTGTAATGTTTCGAAATTGGTAAAAATGTGTCTATAGGAAGCATTCCAGAAAAGAGATCCGTGGGTCAGAGTGGGATCAGAGCCTTTCACCTAGAGTGCCTGGTGAGGCCACAGCCCCAAGGGCCTCTGTCACTGTGTCCCTAGGTTTTCATCTGAATTTTTCTTGACTCCTCTGGAGTGAAACTTCTTTCATGGGTTTAAATTATGCATGCATTCTCTCTGTGAACTCCCTATGGATTTTGCTTACTTTAAGGGAATTGTTGAGTGTTTCCTTATTGATACAAATTGGTAGATGTTTAAAATATAAAGTATGGGCTGGGGAGATGGCTCAGTAGATAAAGCACTTGTCACACAAGCATGATGATTTGGAGTTTGGATCCACAGCACCCATCTAAAAGCCCGGTGGGCCTGGCGACTGACTAGTAATGATAACACTTGGGAGGCAGAGAGGATCCCCAGGGCAAGCTGAGTAGCTAGATGTGTCGAATCAGAGAGCTCCAGGTTCTGTGAGAGACCCTGCCTCAATAAATAAGGCGGCGCAATTGAAGAAGACTCCAAACATCAACTCAGGCCTACACATACCCCTGTGTACATGCATGTACACCACACTTACCCATGTATACACATGTATGTATACCACACACCCATGAAAAAAGAGGTAAAGGTGTATATGTATAAAAACAAGGTCTCTCTGTAGCCCTGGCTGGCCTGGAACTCTCTATGTAGAACAGGCTGGCCTCAGTCTCACAGAGATCCACCAGCCTCTGCCTCTCGAGTGCTAGGATTAAAGATGTGCGTCACCACACTGGGCTGCCTTCTTTTTTTTTAAATCACATTTATTTTGTCTGTATGTGCATGTGCACCCATGCCATGTAGAGGTCAGAGGATATCTTGTGGGACTCCGTTCTCATCTTCCACCTTGTGGGTCCCTGGACTCGAACTCAGGTTGTCAGGTTTGGCAGCAAGCACCTTTTACCTGTTGCTCCATCTCATTAGCCACATTTAAAAACTTTTATTTTTTACATTTATTTGTTTATTTTGTTGTGTTGAGGGCACGAAGGCCAGAAGACAACTCGCAGAATCAGTTTTTCTTTGTACCATGTGGATTCAGAGATTGAATCAGGTCATCAGGCTTGGCAGTAAGTACCCTTACCCACTGAATAGTCTTTTTTTGAGACAGGAAAAACCCACTTTAGCCAAGCCTGAGTTGATCTCCAGTAGTCATCTTGCCTCAGCCCTGGACCCGGGATTACAGGTGTTAGCCAGTTCGCTAGGATAAGGATGTCTTTTGGTGACAGAAGCTCTGGATTTTACTTTGGCTAAGTTTATTGACTTCTTTTCCCTTTGGTGCTTATCTTGGTGCTTTTCAAGGAATCTTTGCCTACCCTAAGCTCTGAAGATCTATGCTGGGGGCTTTTATCTTTCACCCCACTTGGGATCAACTGTAGTGAGGCTGGACTCATGTGGCTCTCCAGTTGATCCATGCTGTGCCCCACCATGTCCTTCCTGGTCCCTGCTGTCCATGTGAGGCTGTTGGGGATACCTCTGTCCACTGGGTGCCGTTCTCTCCTGTACCAGTTCTTCCAGTTCAAGGGCTGCTGTGGGAGGCCCACCACTTGCTGTATCTCTACTATTTCATTCTTGTTTTGTTTTGTTTTTGTTTTTAGTCTTTTTGAGACAGGGTCTCCCTGTAGACCCAGCTGTCCTGGAACTATGTAAAGCAGGCTAGCCTTGAACTCACAGAGATCCGCCTGCCTCTGCCTCCCAAGTGCTGGGATTAAAGGCATGCGCCACCAAGCCTGGCATATGAGTTTATTCTTTTTTCTTTCTTTCTTTCTTTTTTTAAAATTTATTATTTCTATTTTATGTGTATGTGTGTATTGCCTGCATGTATGTGAGTGCACCCGTGTTGTGCAATGCCGTGGAGGTCAGAAGAGGGCTTCGGATTCCCCTGGAACTGGAGTTACGGACGGTTTGTAGCCACCACGTGGGTGCTGGGAATCGAACCTGGGTCCTCAGCAAGAGCAGTCAGTGCTCTCAACCGCTGAACCATCTCCCCAGTCCCTTATCAGTGGTTCTTTACATGCCCAACTAAATGTTAGAATGGCCTGTCTGCTTCCTCCAGGACAATCCACTGACAGTTTCATTGGAATTGCTTTAAAGAGATCCAAGAATTGACATCCTTCAACTCACAGTATTTTTTTCTTTTTAAAAATATTTATTTATTAATTTTTATTTTATGTGTATGAGTGTATTGCCTGCATGTTTGTAAGTGCACCCGTGTTATGCAATGCCTATGAAGGTCAGAAGAGGGTATTGGATCCCCTGGAACTGGAGTTATGGATGGTTGTTAGCTGCCATGTGGGTGCTGGGAATGGAACCCAGGTCCTCTGCAAGTGCAGCCAGTGCTCTTAACCACTGAGCCATCTCTCCAGCCCCAGTATTTTCTTTTCTTTTTTTTGGTCTTTTTGAGACAGGGTCTCCCTGTAGCCCAAGCTGCTGTCCTGGAACTCACTATGTAGACCAGACTGGCCTTGAACTCACAGATCCGCTTGCCTCTGCCTCCCAAGTGCTGGGACTACAGGTGTGCGCCACCACGCCCAGCACTTTTCTTAAAGATTTACTTTATATTAGAATATGTGTTGGCTGAAGGTGCTTGTGGAGGTCAGAGTTACAGGCAGTCATGAGCCCCGGACATGGATGCTGGGACATGAACTCAGGTCCTCTGGAAGAGCAGTATACACTGTAAACCACTGAGCCATCTCTCCACCCGACACAATGTGCTCTAGTTCCAACTCATTTCTTTTTTTGCTCATCATATCTGAGCCTTTTCATCCTTGTGAGGAATGCTGAGTGCAGCTTAGAAGAGGCGTTATTTACCCTCACAGTTCCAGGTTTGGTCTGTGGTCCTTTGGCCTCACTGGCCTCATCTTTTTGGGCCTGAGGTGAGACTGGATATCGTTATGGTGGTGGCAGTGTATAGCAGCAGCTGCTCCTCTCCTGGAAGCAGAGAGAGAGTGAGAGAGAGGGCCCTCGACAGTATAGGACCCCCAGTGACTGCCCTAAGGTGGGTACCACCTAGCATTTCCTCCACCTCCAGGAGTGCCACCAAGTGTGTCTCTGTCAGTGGAGTCATCTACTGGTGAAGGCAAAGCCTGCATGATCCAGTCTTCTCTCAGTGGTTGGCTCCACCATTTGGGGACCAAGCCTGAAGCACATGAGCCTTTTGAGAGACAGTTCAAATCCAAAGATTTCTTTAATTTTCAGTTGTGTGTATGTGGGTATGTGCACATGGAGGCCAGAAGAGGGCGTCTGAGCCCCTGGAGCTGGAGTTACAGACATTTATGAGATGCCCAACATGGGTGCTGGGAATTGAACTAAGGTCCTCTAGAACAGCACTCACTCCTAGCCGCTGAGCCCAAACTCTGTCAGTCTCTACTGTTTGGTTTGAAGCTGTGTCCTTATTTGACACTTGATCTTTTGAAGTGTCCCATGTATCTGTGGAGACATGTCCCCTAAATTGGTATCGCAGGTGACTTAGTTCTGCTCCGTGCAAGTTAGTGTTTTCTACTCCTTTTCTATGATAGTTAATACTGGCCATCAACTTGACAGGATTCAGAAGCACTTGAAGACAGACCTCTGGGCATGTCTGAGGGAGTTGCGAGATTGGGTTGAGGTAAGAAGGTCCACTGTCATCCTGTGGCATCCTGGACTGAATAAAAAGGAGAGAGTGAGCTGAGCACCAGCATCCATCTCCCTCTGCTTCCTGACTACTGATGCTGTGTGACCAGCTGCCCTCCATGATGGGCTTTCCCCTGGAACTGTGAGCCAATATAAGTCCTTTCCCCTTAAGCTGCTTCTGTCATGGAAAGGCATCTAAGGCAGGTGGCCCGCTCGATTGCGTTATCTGTCCTTCCAACTTCGGTAGTTTCAAGTTATGTTGGGTTTATCACGCCATCACCCCACTGTAAATCCAGGAGCGTCTGCAGTTAGCGCTCACCCATATTCTTCCTTTTTTGTTTCTTAGTTTTCTGGCATTTGGTTCTGTGTCTTTGTCTGCTTGGTATTTTTCAACCACTGCGTCTGAGAAATGACAGAGGTCCATCAGACAGGGCGGGAACAGCTGTGTCTAGCTGAGGTGACCCTGGATCTGCTGTGCCTTCATTCCCAGCATCTCACTAAACCATCCCCTCATGCTGCTGAGTCTCCTGGACTTGTCTTCTGTGAGGATCTCTTCTGTTAGCCTTGCTGCCTGGCAGCACTGTCCAGGAAAACTGGGTTTCTCGCATTAACTTGTCCTGAGAACCTCTCTCCTGGCTCTCTTGGTTCACATCCTCCTTCCCCATCACTGTTTCACTCTTTCGTTCTCCTTCATCTGAGTGTGTCATCGTGTGCCTGTTGTCACAGTGCCTTTTGTGGTGGGCAGTTTGG